TATATATATATATATATATATGATTATTGTGAATTATATTCCACACTACTTTTTTTTTTGCTAAAACAACACATGAGATGTTTAAATATCATACACCGTACAACTATATAAATCGAAACATTCTTTCACTTTTAGATGTGTTAGATTAATGAGTGTAACTACTACCATGTTGAATTATGAGTAAATTTCATATATAGGATAAAAATGCATGGTCCTTTTCAGTTTGGTGTTCAAGCATTTAGGTGCATAAACCTTTAATCAGATATGTAAACATATTTGAAACATACTTTCTCTAGAGTTAAAATGCAAACACCAAATATGCTTTTTATTTTTATTCAAATTTAAACCACTGTGTGATGTAGCTGTATACTATGCTGTTATGTAATATTTTTATAGCCACTTACATGAAACTCATGTTTCATGCATGTTTGTTTTACAGTCCACACACATTCTGTGACTCAAGCTTTATTTACATTTCTGTTTCATTACTATTTATTTCATAAAATAAATAATTGCATCATAATAAGAAATTTGTATTCAGTATTATGCCAGTTATTCTATTTTTATGCACCCATATTTTAATTTATTTTTTATCTATTTCATTCCAACAATGGTACATATAAAATGAGCATGAACTTTGTCTAAGCTCTAACAGTAGGCCTAACATCATCATGCACTAGCTTATTTTGCAAAATAATTTTTGCTGCAAGATAACTTGTATATCGTCAAAACTATTACAAACAGACAGCATTTATCTTAACATATTTATAAATCATACCTCTGCACTTCTCTTTGAAATTATATTAAGATATCCCAAATTAGCCTTTGCTGATCTGATGTCCATTTGCCAGAGCGTCATATTCTTCATGAAATTTTTTCCTACAAGGAATGAAAACACACTGTATTGATAACTAATAAAGTGAAATAAATAAGTAATCAGAGGAATCAATAAAATTAAGTTGTAACCTCTATATAGGATATGAGCTGAACAAAACCCAATTACAATTTGATTATTTGAACCTGTAACCAGGAGCAGACTTCCGACATACTGGCTAAATCTTTAAAAATTTAAAGTCCATATAAAGAAAAAATAGAGTGAACAGATTGTGAGAAAGAAAATTGTAGAACAAGAAGTGCATCTAGTTGAATTACATTGTCTTTGTCATTATTTAGTTAATTTACTGCTTTTCAACTACTTGAGTTATAAATAAGCAACAAATATGTGTAGAAAGCACAGATTAGTAGCTATGTTTCATATGTAGATGAGGTTTATCTATTTGGACAAGAAATTTGAATTTGAAACACAGACAAGAAATTATATTTGTGGAGCAAATAATCTAAATGAGGGATAGCAGTTTAGATTGAAATATTTTCTACACTATCGAAAATAGATTATAATAAATCTTAACTTCAAAATAAAAGCTGAAATATTGTGTTTTTACATCACTGGAAATAATAATTGATTTAGACTTTTTTTCTTAGTTCTGATGATAATATTGTATAATGATTGACTTCTGAATTAGCAACAGCTGAACATAGGGGAATAAAGTGGTCTCATAAAACATTGCCAGGTGGTAAATTCTGATACCAATAAAACTATAATGCAGTGCTAATACAATAAATGATAAATGAAGATAGTCTGTATTTACAGAGAGAACTAATTGATCGATTCGTACATATTACTACTACTACAGATTAATCTTTTATGTATATTATTTAGCAGACAGTGAAATGTTTTATTTGTAGATGGTTTGAATGGTTAAAATTGAAACGAGTGATCTGGACATGTAACATCCTTGAGTGGTTTGATAAAAGTAACTGTAATGAAAATATCTGGTCTCCATATTTTCATGTTTTCAACTCCAACAGTATGAAGTGAAACTAGTATGTCATTTGTTTATGTTTTTAAAATGTCTTATGATGGAAAAGATAATTTCTTGTCTTGACATTTCACAATCATATTTATATTTTTTGGCATAATCATTGGTTCAACTCACCTTTTGAAATATGAAGTTAATAATATGTTAAAAATTAAACTCGCTACTTGATGTTTTTACAGTCTCTTATTAAACGACATAAGGCATTTGTGGTTCTATACAATTCTGAGTGTGATGCTCTGCAACCTTTACCAGGTAAGATTTTTTTGCACTATTATAAATGTTATAATTATTATTTTTTGGTATAATTCAGAGATATTATTTTACAATTTCTTGAATCTGGTTATATCAAATGTTAGATGTACCATTATGGAAGTGCCAGATCTGGAAAATATGTAAAATGTAGGACTAGTTCCAGATATGGTGACTGCAAAATATCAAATATGATTTTATTTTAATGAGAAATCCAGATCAAGCCATACATGAAAATGTTTGTGAATTAAATGAATTCTGTTTTTGATGTTAAATGCTGATTTCCAATGTTATTGTTAACTTTACATTTCTATGAAGTATTATTGGTAAAGGATGTTAAGATATTTACTCCTTAAACCCGAGCTAATGCTGCTAAAGTCTGACCAAAAATCCTGATTTACCTATTGGACAGTGATAACATCCAATAACATTTATGTTTCTTTGGCTGAAAACTAATCCAAACCATGTTATTATCCACAAAATTATGGAAATTGAAGTTTTATAAAGTATGGTGATAATTATTAGGAAATCATGGAAATAATTCCGGCAGAATGAGCAAAAAATTACGGGCTTAAAGAGTTAATAATATATTGAAAACTACCTAATTTTCATTCTTATAATGCATATAATACCTCTAGATTTTCAAGTGTTTCTTCACTCTTTCTCTGTTTTTCCTATTTCATACATAGCTCCTGTTTGATGTTTAAGTTCTTTCCAATATCTCCTCTTTTCCATGAGGATTTTAAAATTCTGTAGGAAATATAAAATTTGAATTCCTGTTTTAGCTGTAACAAATAACCACATGAACATGTAAATATCCTTTTTCTCCATTATGGAATGAAAATTTAAGAAACTCGGTACATTAATTGTTTAAGACAAAACTAGATATAGACTCAAATATTATATCTGACTTCCATTTCTATAAAGAAACAAGTTTTCAGTGTTAATGTCATGTTTTTTTATTGGTTTATCTATACTTTAATGGGATAGTAAAAAAAATGTTATATCTTAAATCCATGTACTACTGACAGTAGTAATAGTAGTAACTGTTAGTGATACTTACTAAATGTGCTAGATTTGAGTCATTTTTGCTTGCTTTATAGACATACTTTTACTGTCTCTTACATTTGTATTAAGTTTCTAGTCTATTTTCAACTTAACCAGGATACATTAATCCTTAATCTAGCTAACATATAAAACTAATAACCACATGATTAAAAGACTAATGTTAAAACTTGGAAAACTTTGGATACTAGTAGTAGTATTACTTTAGCTTAAAAATATTGGTATAATCTAGGCTTTAAAAAATATGTATAGTTATCTAATGTCCAAGTAAACTAAAACACAGGTTTGTGATCCCTGTTTATACTAAAATAAATGTGTGTGTGTTCAAGAAATGTTCAAAAATATACACTTCTTATGTAGCATTTACCTTTTTACAGTTTATATGTTTTCTTCCTTAGTATTGGAGATCATTAAGAAAGTTGAAGAACAAGAAAAAGAAGAAAAGGTCCAGGCTACAGTTACGTCAGTAAGGAATTCTTTGGAATTAAAAGTTTTGTAGTGTATAGATTCAATTTGATTATTTGATTTGTTTCAGCACAAAGCCACACAATGGGCTATCTGCACGTATATTTTAGAACAGTTTTGAAAATATTAAAAAACCTACTTATATTCAAACGTCAGTGTTTCAAAAATGCCACGCTAGATATAGATGCCCAAGACAAATATATAATTGAACCCAGGCATGTATTTTTTTTATTACAACTTTCTTGACTAAACCAACAAACTTCAGTCTGAACTCTCTCCATTGCTAGTAAAATTAGGTCACTACTCAGTGATTGTAAATGTATTATGATCATATCTACATGTCTGACTCACTTGTATTATTATAATGTTCTTTTAATTGAACTTGCATGTACTTGAGTAATGAAAATATTAACTATTATCTTCCCTGTAGTAACACAAAATTTAAATCCAGTGTTTTTACATGGATGAAAATACACTGTCTTCCTACTTTCAAATACTTTATATTTTATCATGCGTTGTACAGTAACTTATGCAGTTAGTTAGTGTCCCTGCCAGTTGCTGATTATGCGTGTCTTGTGTGTTAAAGAAATGTTTACCAGCTGAGCTCTCTTTTCATAAAATGAAACAATTAAAAACAACAGTCTTGAGAGTTAATGACTGGATTACTAAATATTTAAAGAAAATCAAAATTAATATTTTCAATTGGAAGCTAATTGGACAGTAATGTACATTACTGATTTTACTAGAAAAAGGACAAAACTATACAACCATGAAATAGGTCATTTAATTACCTAAGCTTAAAAAGTGAAACATTGTTAAAACATAAAAGCATTTCAAATTTTTTCTAGAGAGGTATCGGATGGTTACTATTGGAGATTGATTGTTGTTTTAGGGAAAATCATTTTTTGAAACGGGATAAATATGAGTTGTTTATTTAATGACAAAGTAGTTTATTATCAGGAGTATTAAAATAAACATCACGTAATATCCTTTAAGCATAGGTCAAATATATTATAAACATTGTTCTATTCTCTGTAACTTTTATGTCATAGTATTATGTTGTAAGCATAATTTGAGGTTAAAATGATTATTATTAATAATAATACTACATGTCAATAATTTAACATTATGGCTGAACAAATTGGAATTCTTATTTCCAGGCTAAGTATTAAAAGCAAATTAAATGCAGACTACTTTTATAGTCTCAATGAATATACATTATATTTAGGGTTAAAATATCTAGTCAAGTAAATTTTTTCCTTACTTGCCCAATTGGCCAAATACTTTTTTTTGAAGTTTTTCATGCCCTTAGCCCATATCTGTATTAGCACTAAACTTTCAAGATTTAAATCAGCAATTTTGTAATTTCATTAGTTAAGAAAAAAATCTACAAATAGTTCAGAATATTAACCTTTTAACTTAGGGTCAGAAAAATCCCATGCACCAAGATACATGAATGTTAAACCCCAATTGTTGTTTTTATTATAAGTGTATTTCCATTTTACTTATACAGCTGAAAATAAGCACAATCTATTGCTGTGATATATTAAAGACTAGCAAAGACCTGCAAAACATTTGTGATCAAATTAATATCTTTATTGCAACAGTACTTCTTTAAATACAGGATTTCTAGAGTGATACAAAATAATTCTAATTGACACTGAAATCTATAAGTCCACTTGTCTTATTCCTAACATTAGTTAAGCCTTTATTAAGTATGGCCGATTTTTGATAAAGAGATAAATTAACACTGTAACTTGTGTACGTTTTTTGCTTTAGTTCAGTTAGGGCTAAACCTTACCACACTTAATACTATCAATAAATAATAATCTAATATTATTGTACGACCTCACATTAGACATTTTTAAAAACTGATAAGCTTTTAACTTGTTGTATAAAATGTCTACTAAAGTATATTTACGTCTTTTCTGGCGTAACTTGACAATTTAACAAAGATACGTTTTCATATACAAGTCTAATTATAAGTTTGTAATTTTTTATAACTAGATACTAATTACTAGCTAGTTATGTAATAAATAAAAATAGTTATTAATTAATAATTAAATTTAGGTGATTGTACAGGCTACTAACCATGATAATGATCCAATATCTTTGAATATTTTTCTCATGACAGAGTTTCTGGAAAGCCTTAAAAAGTCTTAAATTGGTTTTTGTATTTTTAAAGCCTTGAAAATTCTCAACTATGTTTAAAAAGGTCTTAAGCTAATCATAGGCTAAAATGAGATGTTTAAACTCTAACTAGACATATATATATGTATATATATATAATGAAATAAATAGCTTCAATACTATTAATTACATTAATTGTTAATAGGCGATTAAAATCAGCACTATAAAGCAATAATGAGCTTAATATTAAATAAGCATTAAGAAGATTTTAGTGAAGAATTCATTGTTAATCCTAGTTGTCACCTTAAAGTCTTAACAGATAATGCCTGTGGTAATAGCTCACAAATGTGTTGGGGATAACCCATCTACCAGACAAAATCCAAATGCTGATGTTAAACTAGCCAGCAAGCATGAACAATCAATTAAAGGTGTGGAGTTGAGTGCTTACACCCACAACGTCTCAACTCCTACTGCCTTTCACTGTCTGCAGCCAATTGTG